TAATCCACAGTCAGCAACATCGAGTTTATTCTGGGTGATAGTCTTAGTGTGAAAACAGTGTTATGACTTCAGTTGAAGCTCACCAGTTTACAGTTGAGCTGACTAGATGTAACCGTAGGTTCTATGCTTACAGTTTCTTTTCTCGCACTTCTCACATGTGGAACTCCCTTCCGGGCCCCAGCTAACTATAATCTTCAAATATTTAAATGCAAAGTTAATCGTTATCTACTGTCCTCCTGATCTCTTTTCTCTTCCCGCTTATTCGTCTTCCACACCCTGTGACCATTTGCGTCTTAGTGGTTTTACAAACCTTGAATGGCATGTTACCGATTTAAAGGACTCTAGGAATAATGTAATTTGGCTCTTATAAATTGGCGATTGCAGTCAGATTTCGTAGTTGACCCTTGGAGGTCAATGTATTAAATTCATTAACTTTAATAATTAGTCTTTAACTTTTGTCTCCCGTTTGTACTTTGGGAAATTGTTAAGGCTTTAATACAATGAGGTTTTCAAACACCATATTGAAATCATTATAGATATATTATTTAGTTTTTAATGTCCTTGTTATACAACGTCTTGAGTGTTTTCTCTGTCATCTATAGGGGGGGAAATGAAAAAAGGCATTTCTTTTATTTCGTAAAATGGAATTAAAAGGCTAATAATAAAAATGAATTTGTAACTTTGAAAAATTCAAATATACAAAAGTAGGTTTCATTTTATTTTCAGAATTATTCTTAATACAATTATCAAATAATTCTAATTCATTATGCAATTATCAAATAATTCTTATTCTTAATACAATTATCAAATAATTCTAATTTGTTATACAATTATCAGATAATTCTTATTCTTAATACAATTATCAAGTAATTCTTATTTCTAATACAATTATCATATAATTTTTATACAATTAATACAATTATCAAATAATTCCTATTTCTAATAAAATTATCCAATAATTTTTATACAATTAATACAATTATCAAATAATTCCTATTTCTAATACAATTACCCAATAATGTTTATACAATTAATACAATTATCAAATAATTCCTATTTCTAAAACAATTATCAAATAATTTTTATACAATCAATACAATTATGAAATAATTCCTATTTCTAATACAATTATCAAATAATTTTTATACATTTAATATAATTATCAAATAATTCCTATTTCTAATACAATTATCAAATAATTTTTATACAATTAATACAATTATCAAATAATTCATATTTTAATACAATTATCAAATAATTGTTATTCTTAATAAAATTATCAAATAATTCTTGAAAAAAGAATAATTAGATTTGTTTCCAAATGCGTCCTTACACGCAGACGCGAATTCTTCCGCTTTCAAAGCAATACGCATCGCATCTGTTAGCATACCCATTATAAATTTGGCATTTGAAGTCAGATTTCGTAATTGACCTTTAGAGGTTAACGTGTTAAATAATGTTTACATACAATCCCCTCTTTTAAATAAATGCAATTCTCGACTAATTTGACTTCACTTTAGACCAATCCTAACTCCTACCTGCTTATTAGATTTTCTACCATCCGTGCTTATTCCAGTCTCCCCGCTTATTCCAACCCTTCGCGTATTTCAACACCATCCCGCTTATTCCTACCTCCTAAATTTTGAATAAAAATCACTTATTAGATATTGAAAAACTATTTCCAATACACCCACTGATTAGAGAGGATTATTTGAGAGGATTATCAATCCTTTGTGGGATATTAAAAGCCAGAAGATGTTTTTAGATTGTAAGAATTTATTTTTTTTAGAGATAATGTTTTCAGGGATACAAATAAGACTTGTATCACTAAAACTCATGGAGTGGGGTAGAAGAGGTGAAGCCATATTGTATTTGCATGAACCCAACCGGAATTGGATCTCGGTACTCCTATTAAAATTTCGAGCCATTATCCATTACACGCCCCTTACATCCAAGATTACCGCTTCTGGTATTCCCAAGCGATCACTCATCTAGTTACTGAATAGACTGGACGTTGCTTAACTTTAGCAATCGTACGGTAACCGCTGTTTCAACCTGGCGTGGCCGTAAACCAGTATCGTTTTGGTCAGTTTACTTCATAACCCGAGGTATTAGGTTGGTGCAAAAATAATGACGTAATAATGTCGTTTTTTGACGTTAAAACATACGCCAAAAAACGACATTATTACGTCATTATTTTTGCACCAACCTAATATAAAATATCCTACTCTAAACCCTACCCAACTTGGCCAGTTTTTACTATTAATACTGGGTGCGGCAGAAATACTTCCTACATTTTAAAAGTTAACAAAATGACTAACGTAACTCTTATAAAAAATATTTTATTGTTGCGTAGTCTATAAAATAAAGGTATACGTTCTTCTGCATTTGTATTACACTTTCTGGTAACATTCTGAGCATAAATATCGTGTTCACTGTTCCGGTGTCTTTGACGAACCCGCACTGTTTTGTCCTATCTCTAGCCTGATTCTGCTGCGTACTCTATTCATCAGAATTTGGATGATGAGTTTTGTTATATGGCTCATTAGGCCGATTGTTCTGCGGAGTTCACATTCGTTTGTGTCTGATTTCTTAGGAAGTGTTATGAAAATAGATCTGCTTAAGATCTTCCGGCATATCCTCATTTTTGTAGATTTCATTTATTATTTCTGTAATCTTGTCTATGCAGAAGTCGTTTAAGGCTGCCAGCATTTTTGCTACAATTCTCCCTGGCCCTGCCGCTTTGTTTCTGTTCAATTTGACCAGTGCAGCTTCTACTTCTTTTTTTTTTTTAAATTTTTTTTTAATATTTCCGCTCCGTCGATATTTCTGTGCATTTTGGGTTGTTCTCTTTTGTCGTGGAAGAGTTCTCCGATATATTAGTTCTAAAGCTGAAGTATTTTCTCTTTCTCTAATATCAGCGCCCCGTCTTTGGATTTTATGCAGCTTGACTTTTCTTCTGTTATTTATTTTATAATTTAAGCAGATCACCTTTATCTATGATACTCATTCTTTCTATTTCTGCACATTTTTCGTTGAGCCATTCCTCTTTAGCCTGCTTGCATTTGTTCCTAATTTCTTTGTGTAATTTTCTGTCTTCCATTCTTATAATCTTATAATAATCAAGGCGATAGTCTGGGGAGTTAGGTGGCCAGATGTAAATGGTGATGAGGTTGCAGAAATAGTCTGTCAGCCGTGACTAGATTCTGCTGCTTGTGTGGCATGGTGCAGAGTCCTGTTGCCAGACATAGAATCTTCCAACAGCCACCCATTTGACAGGGCAGCACCACCTACTCAAGGCACTAAATGTAGGTCTCCGTATTTAGTCTGAGGCCCTGTGTGGAGATGAATGAAGGCATAACGTGACCATCACTAGTGATCCCTCCAAGCACCTTCGTAATCGCCATTAGACTCATCGAACTATTTCAGAAACCGCTTCACTGTCTTGACATCTTCTTGATTCGGGGCAGCATTACCTCCACAAGGCACTTGATGTAGGCTTCTGTGATGAGTCTGAAGCTCTCACCAACAAATTCTGGAGTTCTTTTCTTATCCGAACAATCAGAGTGAGTTTTCGGAGCTGCCTTACCTTCGTAATCACAATTAGACTCATCCGACTCTTCTCGAATACTCTGCACGTTTCTCAGATTGACACCCAAACACTCTGAAATGTTCATATTGGAGCTTCCGGTGCGAATGCCAAGCAGTACAGCATGTCATTTCCAAATTTCTGGCGGAGTGAATTGCATCATTGTGTTCTTTATCTAACAGATGGAGCTCAACTGACTCTACGATATTGTACAGCGGACCAAAGCCAAAACAAACAACGCGACAATTTAAACATCGCAGCATGTTTGTGTGTGTGTGTGTAAAAATTTTCAGCTAGAATATATCTGAAAAAGGACAATATGAATAAATTTTATATGTTTCATATCTATCTCTATATATATATATATATATATATATATATATATATACACATACACACATATATAGATAGATATATATATATATATTGTTGAAATATCAAAGAGAAAGATAGTAGATAGACAAGGAACAAGTAAGCACATAATTCGACCAAAATAATTTTCATCTTCAGCTGAATTAATCACGTTTAAATAGCTTTTGTTGTAGTCTCCCACCGACCAAAAGAACCAGAACAAACAAAAAAACAATTGCCCCAAATTCCAAAACTACAGAAATTGGAAAATTTTCTAAAGAAACCAAAAAAAAAAAAAAAAAATGTAAAAAGAAAAATAACATGAAAGCAAAGAAAATGGTATTTTTCAAGAGAATCCCCATTTATTATGGGGGAAAAATAATTCCATTGTTTTGTTTTTGAAATGATTCAGGTAAAAATATTTTGTCAGCTTCGCACAGAAAATGTTGGTTGGTTGGTTGGTTTCGATAATATTTTTTTTTTTCAAAAACCCTTCCACACCTGGCAGGACTCTGGGAAACATTGTCTTGAAGTCACGGAATTTTCGTTAAATATAAAGACTAAATAATCAGTCGCTATATTTTCAGAAGTACGGATCAAAAACACGCGAAAAAAATATACGCGAAAATTCTCTCAGCCTATCGATAAAATAAAAAAAATTAACACATGTTTAAAAGTGTAACAGAGGAAGAGATTGCTTCTATGTCTGCGAGAGGTGTTTGAGTGTAAATGACAGAGGCAGATTGAGTATGGATTAGAGATTATTGGTAGATTTATGGGTTGATAGTCTGATATTTCTTTTTGCGGTTATATCAAACATTTGCAGGTTATTTAAAGCCAGAATTTTTTTTTAGCGTGTAAGAATTTGCTTGCATATAATAATGATCTACTGATACAAGTTCTACTAATTAACCTCTAGCTGGGGGAGATGAGGTGGATTCATACCTTTCCCAAGGGTATTTGGGCTTAAATGAAAATAACGAACCTGACTAGAATTGGAACTCGGCTGATCGTTTTCAAATTCCAACTCGTTATGCATTACTCCAACCACACATCCAAGCTTACAGCATCTGGTAATCCCAAGTGGTCACCCTTCTATGTACTGACCTGGTTCGAGGTTGCTTAACTTGGCTGCTCGCACGAGAAGCGGTGTTTCAACGTTATATGGCCATAAGCCGTATGGATGGAGTAAAGTGCTAATATGAATGTGGGACCTTGTATTGTGTAGTGGGAGTAATATACTTCTCCCTCTGTTTCTTTTTCTGTTTCATTCTCTCTCTCTCTTTTCTCTTTCTCATTCTCTCTATCTCTATCTGTTTACCTCTTTCTCTCTCTCTCTCTCTGTATCTCTCCTTCTTTCTTTCTCTTTCTCTCTTATTCTCTCTCTCTCTTTCTCTCTTATTCTCTCTCTCTTCCTCTTTCTCTCGCTCTCTTCATCTCTTTCTCTTTTTCGCTCTCTCTTTATCTCTTTCTCTCTCATTATCTCTCTCTTTATCTGTCTTTGTCTCTCTCTGTTTCTCTTCCTCTCTCTTTCTCTCTCTGTTTCTCTTTCTCGCCTTCTCTTTCTCTCTTTCTTTCTTTCTTTCTTTTTATTTTTTCTCTCTCTCTCTTTCTATTTTCTCTCTATATATCTCTTTCTTTCTTCCTTTATCTCTCTTTCTCTTTCTTTCTCTATCTTTGTCTCTCTCTGTTTCTCTTCCTCTCTCTTTCTCTCTCTCTGTTTCTCTTTCTCGCCTTCTCTTTCTTTCTTTCTTTCTTTCTTTTATTTTTTTCTCTCTCTCTCTCTTTCTCTCTCTTTCTCTCTTCCTTTATTTCTCTTTCTCTTTCTTTCTCTATCTTTGTCTCTCTTTCTCTTCCTCTCTCTTTCTCATTCTCCTCATCTCTCTTTCACTCCCTCTTTATCTCTCTCTTTCTCTTTCTATCTTTCTCTCTATATTTGAAAGACTGACTAATTGGATGTAGGCGTGGCAGATTGTTTAAAATTATGTGATAGAGACTGCTTGCATATGTCTATTCATCCATATTAATGTACGGTAACTTCTGTGTGCATAAGAGAAAAATGTGATCTAATAATAATAATAATAATAATAATAATATATATATATATATATATATATATATATATATATATATATATATATATATATGGGATAATAATTGTCCATCCCATGTTTAATATCTAAAAATTCACTAAACCAATTGAGTTTCTTTTTCCTAGATTTTCAGATAAGACGTTTAGCCATCTTGGCACTAGGAAACATTGTCTTTCTCAAAGAAATTGTTATTGCAATATTCACACGCGAAAAAAAAATCCCGGAGTTCAAAGCATGTTTCATCTCACAATGTGCTGACAAGCCGTAAATCAACAAGTCAAATGCTAAAGAGGTGTTGGGCAGCCTTTCAGATATCTCAGCTGAGAATGTAAGGTCCACGTTTCGAGATGCACGCTCACAAAATGGCCGAGAATTACTGCCGAAAATCGGGAGGAGACAATAATGTAATGTTAAATATGGAAGATTCAAGTCCGATGTTGCTCAGTAATCCGTTCTTGTTATCATCAACACCCGGGCCTCATTACAAATGGAACGCTGTCCTTGACGAGTAAAATATGAAGAAGCAGTATAAACAAACAAAAAATCAAAAAAGAAAGAAAAATAAAACTGGTAAGCAATATCTAAAAAATTGTTTATTTCCGTATTCTTCCAGTGAAAGGCCTGCAAATAATAGCTTCAAATATGGCGATGTTATTAGATTAAAAGACACAATTCATGATTCATGTATCAAAATGAGAACCGCAACTAAAGAAGAAAAGATACTAACAAAAAAAAACATATTCAGTCAAATAAGAAAGTGAATGTCCTTTATAAACTGTAAGTACACCATTAACTGATTATTTTCCTGTCATTTTCGTTGGTGTTCAAGTATACGCAGATTTACATAGTTTTAATATGACATTAGCGACAAAAAGCTGGCATGTATACAACTTCAGTATCTCGGATCATATCTCTTAGGGACATGGCTCTTGTTATAAGCAGCTTTCTCGTTTATTTGTGAGTTGTAAGGCTAGACGTATGCCAGCCACAGGTCGAAGTTTGCAACAAGCTCAGAAAGAAAAAAAAGGAAGATTAACGTGTACCGTACTGTAAAGGAAATAGTTAAAAAGAAAAAAGAAAAAAAACTGGGATTTTACATGCAATTTTACGCTTTATAAAATTGAATACCACTTCGTTTTTTTAGTAAATTTCTTTTTATAGAAATTAATTTACACGAAGCAAAACTAACATATTCCTTATTATTTTATATTTACATTTTATTTTTGTTTTAGAAGAGATTTTGTCAGCTATTTTTATTAATATTTGACTAGGATGTATTTTCATGCTCATTTTTTATTTGATGAAGCATTGTCAGCCATTATTATTAATTTTTGACTAGAATTTATTTTCATCTTCATTTTTTATTAGATGAAGCATTGTCAGCCATTATAATTAATTTTTGACTAGGATTTACTTTCATCTTCATTTTTTATTTGATGAAGCATTGTAAGCCATTATTATTAATTTTTGACTTGGATTTAGTTTCATCTTCATTTTTTTATTAGATGAAGCATTGTCAGCCATTATTATTAATTTTTGACTAGTATTTACTTTCATCTTCATTTTTTATTAGATGAAGCATTGTCAGCCATTATTATTAATTTTTGACTTGGATTTAGTTTCATCTTCATTTTTTCATTTGATGAAACATTGTCAACTATTATTATTAATTTGTGTGTAGTATTTACTTTCATAATGGTTAACAAAGCTTAAAAAGGAAGATGAACGTAAATCCTTCTCAAAACTTAATAATTGTTAACAATACTGAACCGGTGTGATAGCACCTGTTTGGGTCCCAGCTGTGGTTAAAAAGTTAATCCCCAAACTGGGATTAAAATATGAAAATATCAATATACATTTTTATAGTAAAAATATTATCAATATATTTTCGTAGTAAATATCAATAAATATTTTCATAGAAAATAATACGTTTTTGAAAAAATACTACCAAAGCTTCCAAAAAATTAAACTTCAGCATTAAATGACCCACAAGTTGTTGATATACCGTTAAACTTTCTCTTCCTGATGTTAAGTATAAGTTTCCTTTTCGTTACTATTTTCTCTAAAACTTCGTCTTTGCTCACATATACGGTCCATGAAATGCTCAGTATACTTCTGAAGAACCAAATTTCTGTTGCTTCAAGTTTTTTCATCTTTGAGAATATTGGCTATCATTCACTGCTACATAGGAGCACTGTAATCACGTAACAAGTCAGTACTCTTTTCTTTGTTTCTAACGATGTTTTTACTGTTACTTAATCATCTGCTGGGCTTTTAAAAGGCATCTTTCGCTATTCCAATTCGCCTTCGAATTTCAGTCTAGCACTTTCTGTCCATCCTTATAAAAAGTGCATTTTACCTCCTCCTTTCAAACTATAAAAAAAAACCGAAACCAATAATCCTCTAAAATTAGAGTAAAAAAAGACAGGATGTGGTGAAGAGCCATGACCGCAGGATGAAACAGTGAAAAACCTACTGACAGGTTTGTATCGATGGATACAGTGGAGAGCCATGATCGCAGGATGAAACAATGAAAAACCTACTGACAGGTTTGTATCGATGGATACAGTGGAGAACCATGATCGCAAGATGAAACACTGAGAATTCTACATGATAAGTTTGTGTTGACTGGTGACAGAACAGGAATGATAAAAGATCAAAAGTTAAATAGAGTAACAAAAAGACAGGAAGTGGTGGAGAGCCATGATCACAGGATGAAACGGTGAGCGGCCTACACGGATGATAAAGGATCCAAAGTTAAATAGCGTAAGAAAAAATATGAGATGGTGAAGAGCCATGATTGCAAGGAGGAAACAGTGATTAACGAGTTTGTGTGAATGGATCACAGAACATGGACAACGGGTTTAACTTTACTTAGAGCAACACAAGAAAGAAAGCCGTGGAGGGTCATGATCGCTTATGTCCTGAAGAGCACATAAAAATGTAATTGAACGCATTGAAAATAGTCTAGCTTCATAACGAGTCTAAATTGTCGCATCTGCTGTGAGGTTGTGCCGTTGTCTTGTTTATTGAAACTAGTGGAGGAGGAGACCACCTCGTCTGATGTAAACATTCAAACACGGCTAGTTTATTTTTGCTCTGTCGTCATAATAATGGCAAAGCTATTGTCGAGCGCGTCTGCAGCGGGCCACAGAAGTTTGCTGAGAACGAAATCTGACTGGTACTAGCGAGGGGAGGGAAGTTGGTTTACGACAGATGGGGAAAAAAAGGTAGAAAAAAACGTTCTGTGGGTACCAAAAACTTCTGCTTATGAAGGTGAGATTTACTAAATCTAGTTTAGTCTGGCTCAAGGTCACCTTTGTTAGAGAGACAACAAGCTCGCACTCCGAAATCTGAGTTGGATTTTCGCAAAAATTAGAGATTTCTGACCCATCCATTTAACTTACTGTAAAATATTGATCCATCGACGTAGTCGGCAGCAGTCGAGATTACAGTAATTGTGAACTTAGTGACCATGCTGATGCTGTCCGCTACGCCAGGGTTACATACGATTTTGAACTCCATCTGATAGACTGGTTACTAACCACAGCTACAAGGCTCAGTACGATCTGTTATTTAATCCATACCTGGAGGAAATTTATGGATTCATGCCTTTTCGAATTCAAAGTGCAAAAGTGACTGTAACGAAATCGACTGGAATTCGAACTCCGTTTACAGAGTTCTTGTTCAAAGATGACAACTATTGCACCACCAGAACAAAACGGTATCATTTTTTAATGCGTCGCTCCATCAGCGCGTAGCCTATGATGGATCTACATATACTCCCTTTTCTGTATTATCTGTTAATTGCCATCACGAAAAAAAAAGACACTCGAGCGATTAACCGTTGCCTTCTCCGCAGTTTTATATTCAGTGACGCCTTTTCCGAGACAGGACTACCACTCAAGGCTAGAGAGTTCAGTCTACATTGCTATTTAATTCATACTTCGGAGAGGAAATGGGGGCAAATAAATTCATAGTTTTCCCAACGCTAGTCAGCATTCGCATTTTCACACATTCGCGGATTTTTCTTTAGAACATATGTCCTTGTTATTCGCGGAAAATATTCGCGTGTTTTTCT